ATGATCGTATTTACTTGCCAAAAAGAGGTCAGCTTCAAATGTGGTTCATCGCTTCATTTCCAGCGCACAATGGCCACCAAAATCTCCGGATACCAATCCGTTGGACTATTGTGTCTAGAGTATTTTGGAAAGCAAGTTTGGCACTAAAAAATACCAAAGTGTCGATCACCTCAAGCAAGCGCTTCACCGGGAATAGGCCAAAAAACCACAGAGCAACATTAGGGCAGCGTGTGACGGTTTTAGTGGCCGTTTGAAGGCCATAATTCGCGCCAAAGGTGACCAATTCGAACAAATCTAAATTTATTCTAAAATTTGATGTTATTTCCGACATTTTTTGCCTTTTAACAAGTAAAAAAGCAGTAAGTTCGGCCGGGCCGAACTTTGAATACCGAACGAATTAGAAAATTTTCAAAAAAAAAATAAAATCCATTAAAAATTCTTTTAAAATCTTAAAAAAATAAATCTTTAAAAAAAGGTGCCGATACGATATTGTGGACCTATAAAGACAATCTGCGTGTAAAGTACTCACAAAGAACTCCTTGTGTGGATTTTCAAAATACCGAATATCGCGGGGTATCGTTATATGGGAGCTATACGTTATCGTTAACCTACATACAGAATTCTCTGTCCATTGAAAAATATGACTAAAAACATGAAACTACCGAATATCGGGGGTACCGTTATATGAGGACTATACGATATCGTGGACCTATATAGATAATTCTCTGCCGAGGTATAAAGTATCCACAAGGAACTCCTTGTGTGGATTTTCAGACAATTCCGATGAAAAAATGTGGGTAAAATCATCAAAATACCGAATACCGTGGGGGTACCGTTATACGGGGGATATACGATATCGTGGACCTGTATAGACAATTCTCTCTCAGGGGGTAAATTACTCACAAGGAACTACTGGTGTGGATTTTAAGACAATTCCATTGAAAAATGTGGCTAAAATCATCAAAATCCCGAATATCGGGGGGTACAGTTATATGGGGGATATACGATATCGTGGACCTATATAGACAATTCTTTTTGAGGGGGTAAAATGTCCACAAGGGACTCCTTTTGTGGAATTTCAGACAATTCCATTGAAAAATGTGGATAAAATAATCAAAATACCGAATACCGTGGGGGTACCGTATATACCGTTATATACAACAGACGGACGGACGGACAGACGGACAGGACTAAATCATCTTAGAATTTTACGCTGATCAAGAATATACATACTTTGTTGGGTCTAAAATGATTATTTCGATGAGTTACAAACGGAATGACGAACTTAATATACCCTCTATACTTTTTTTGGTGGAGGGTATAAAAAATGTAAGATTTATGGCGTTTGACTTTGTTGCAGTTTTTATACCCTCCACCATACTATGGAGGGTATATTAATTTTGTCATTCCGTTTGTAACTCCTCGAAATACTCATGTCAGACCCAACAAAGTATATATATTCTTGATCAGCGTAAAATTCTAAGACGATTTAGCCGTGGCCGTCTGTCTGTCTGTCTGTTGTAATCACGCTATCTTTCGAACAAATTGAGATAGAAGGCTAAAATTTTGCACACATGTATATTTTGCAAGTAGGCAGGTTAAGTTCGTAAATGGGCCATGTAGGTCCAAGTTATCATATAGCTCCCATATAACGGTACCTCCCGATATTCGGTATTTTGATGATTTTAGCGACATTATTCAACGGAATTGTTTCAAATTTGGCATTTGAAGTTCGTAATAGATACTACAGCCTAAGACAGAAAATTATCTGTGCAGGTCCACGTCTTCGTGTAGCCCCCATATATTCGATATTCGGTATTTTGATGATTTTAGCGACATTATTTACCGGATCGTTTCAAATTTGGTATTTGAAGTTCGTAATGAATACTACATCCTAAGTTAAAAAATGAGCCATGTAGGTCCACGTCTTCATATAGCCCCCATATAGCGGCACCCCCGATATTCGGTATTTTAATGATTTTAGCGACATTATTTAACGGAATCGTTCCAAATTTAGTATTTGAAGTTCGTAATAGATACTTCAGCCCATGCCAGTTAATTGTCTGTGCAGGTCCACGTCTTCGTATAGCCCCCATATAACGGTACCCCCTATATTCAGTATTTTGATGATTTTAGCTACATTATAAACAGATTTTTCTTCAAATTTCGCATTTAAATATTGTAATAACTTATGACAAAAGTTGCCTATGCAGGTCTACGTCGTCGTATAAGCATTCGGTATTTTTAAGATTTTAAGAGAATTTTCAACGGATTTTATTATTATTACTATTATTTTTTTTTTTTTTGTTTGGAAATTGCCAAATTGGTACCAAATGGTGGAGGGTATTAAAAGTTCGTCCCGGCAGAACTTACAGCTTTTTTACTTGTTTTATCTCACCCTGTATAACTAACTTGGACGTTAGAATAATAGAAAATTATGCACAGATGTGGAAGAATGGAGGGGTGAGAGAGGGAGTCACACAAGAGAGAGAGAAAGAGTATCTCAACAGACGAGCAAGAGAGGAAGAGTCTCAATACGGACGAGAGAAAGACTCTCTCCATACGAGCCTCTTTATAGACGAGGCGGTGGTCATCTCTACAGACGGAGGTCGCTTCTATAGATGAGCCGGTAGCCCGTCTTTATCGACGAGCTGTAGGTCGCCTTTATAGACGAGCCGGAGGTCGTCTTTATAGACGAGCTTTAGGTCGTCTTCATACACGAGTTTTAGGTCGCCTTTATAGATGAGCGTTAGGTCGCCTTTATAGACGAGCTCTAAGTCGTCTTTATATACAATTTTTAAGTCGTCTTTATAGACGAGGTCGTCTCTATGGACGAGTTCTAGGTCGTCTTTTTAGACGAGCTCTAGGTCGTCTTTATAGACGAGCTCTAGGTCGTCTTTATAGACGAGCTCTAGGTCGTCTTTATAGACGAGCTCTAGGTCGTCTTTATAGACGAGCTTGAGGTCGTATATTATAGACGAGCTTGAGGTCGTCTATTATAGACGAGCTTGAGGTCGTCTATTATAGACGAGCTTGAGGTCGTCTATTATAGACGAGCTTGAGGTCGTCTATTATAGACGAGCTTGAGGTCGTCTATTATAGACGAGCTAAATCTCTTCTCTTACAGACGAGCTGAAGCCCGTCTCTTATTGACGAGCTGAAGCCCGTCTCTTATTGACGAGCTGAAGCCCGTCTCTTATAGACGAGCTGAAGCCCGTCTCTATAATAGACGAGCCGGAGGTCGTCTCTATTATAGACTAGCCCGAGGTCGTCTCTATTATAGACGAGACGGAGGTCGTCTCTATTATAGACGAGCCGGAGGTCGTCTCTATTATAGACGAGCCGGAGGTCGTCTCTATTATAGACGAGCCGGAGGTCGTCTCTATTATAGACGAGCCGGAGGTCGTCTCTATTATAGACGAGCCGGAGGTCGTCTCTATTATAGACGAGCCGGAGGTCGTCTCTATTATAGACGAGCCGGAGGTCGTCTCTATTATAGACGAGCCGGAGGTCGTTTCTATTATAGACAAACCAGAGGTCGTCCCTATTATAGACGAGGCGGATGTCGTCTCTATTGTAGACGAGTCGGAGTTCGTCTCTATTATATACGAGTCGGAGTTCGTCTCTATTATATACGAGTCGGAGTTCGTCTCTATTATATACGAGTCGGAGTTCGTCTCTATTATAGACGAGCCGGTTGTCTCTATTATATTTGGAACTGCATGACGGAATTAATACTTCTTAAAACTCATTCGATATTAAAACAAGTAAGCAAAGGCTATAGTCGTGCGGGCCGACCATGTGATACCCTACAACACTACAATATGTTAGAAGCCCCTTTATGTCCAAGTCTATTTTGGATGATTTCGCTTTTGAAATTATGTGATAGAGCACTGCCCACATATTACCCTAAGCAATTTGACCAGGGACATTTGCCCAATATTTCCGCACTCCAAGAACATTTTTAGTTGTTGGACCATTTCAACTCCTAAAAATATTGATCCTAACTATATATTCTCATCCTGTGGAATGATTACAAATTGAAATGGACGGACATACATAGCTGGGTCAACTCAGCTCGATGAGATAGGTAGATCCATATATACCTTCCTATGTGGGAAACCAATATTTCGTGGTGTTGCATAATTTTTGTCCCAATTAAACTTATAATACCCCAACACATAGTGTTGTAGGGTATAAAAATTAAAAACCTTAATTTCCGAAATAATATTCCCGCATCTACCAATAACGTTCGACACAATTCCACTTACTTCTATTAACCCAATTAGTTTACATCACGAAGCGTTTTGTGTCATCGAATAAACACTTGATACAAAACACCAAAGACTTAAGCAACATACACTAACTTGTTGTTGTTATTGTTGTATTTTGTTGTTGTTGATGTTGTTAATCATAACAATTACCCTAAAATTTTCCAAATCATTTCCATTTTCCATTTCATCATTTTCAAATGAAGAATAGCACCCAAGTCAAGTAATCATCTGCGTATGAAAATGAAATTCTTTAATGCGTATTGCGGTTGCACAAAAATAGCTGCAGCAACAATAACAACAACAACACTACAAACGCAATAAGAAAACCCATTAACAGGCAATCACAAAAAGCTAATGAGCCATTGTTTTCACAACTGGATTACAGGCCGACAGCAGTCGACTGACTGAATAGGCAGGCGGCAGACTTAAGCAACAGTTTGATAATGACTTCTTTAGAGCGAAAGAAAAAAGCACAGGGGGGGAATTGCATTGAATATGGGGACCATGCGGAACTATTATGGCACATCGAAAATAAAGCGTGAAAGAAACCGTTGGGAAAAAGAAAAAAAAAAAACACCTCAATAGGCAACAAGGCTTAATCTTAAATAATAACAATTGTATGAGAATTAAAAAAAAGGAGAATTCTTCTCTGTGTTGCATCACCAGCTTGTTAATGTCAATTGTTTTCTTTTTTTTGCGGTTACATCATTTCTTTTGCAGCTCATTCTAATGCTGTGTCTAATCGAAATCCAGCCAGCTGAAGCGGTATCCACGAGCATAGATTTAACCACCACATATACACCAATTAGCAAGCCAACATCACGCAATCCGAAAACAAAGCTACTGCGACAACCAGCATCCACGGCAACTGCCGGTGGACAAAAACAACAACAGAAACAACAACAACAACATCACGAGGCTTTAGTCTCCGCCAATGATGACATCAATTTGGTGGTGCTACCATCCAAATCGTACATAACACAACCTACCACCCCCTCCACAAAACAAACAAAACGTTCAGGTCAAACGGCTGAATTGAAACAGAGGAAACCCTTAAAGGAGATACGCAATCGTACCCTGGAAACTGAGAGGTCATCTAAATTACAGGCAGCCGAAGTGGTGAGATGGAAAATGGAGGGAGGCTTTACTATTTTTATGCAATTAATTTTTTTCTTTTTAGGCTGATCATTTACCCCAATCTTCGGGCCATATTCCCTATCGCATAGGCCGTCCCCATTTGCCGCCTCCTTCGGCGGGAGACTATGACAGTACCGGTTCGGGATCACCTACCTCCACGGGCAGTGCGGCCTATCATGCCGGTCCTCCCTATGAAGCAGAGAAATATCATGCCGAATACTGGGAACGGGATTATGACAAACATTTTGGTTACAACAATACGAGAGTTAAACGTGAGTACCGATAAAATTAGAGATCTGTATTAAAAGTAAAGAGAATGGAGAGATAGAAAAAATTTCCACGGCTTCCAAATGTCAGAAAACCTTCAAGTCTGTATGGGGTAGTTGAAGGAAGTCTTTATAGACGAGCCGAGGACAATCAAAGACGAACCGAAGGGGCTCTTTAAATATGACCGAAAAGGAGTCTCTACAGCCGAACGAAAGGTAGTCTCTATGGACGAGCGAAAAGAAGCCTCTATAGATACCAGTTTCCAAATTTTATCAAATTTCCGAATTTTATCTCAATCCTTTTAACCTATACCAAATTTAGTACCATCTAGTACTTTTAGTACGAAAATAGGATGAATTTCCAAACCACCCTCAAATCTCAAACTGAGATGCAATCAGTAGTATAAATATTAAAATTCAGAATTGTATCTCTATTCCTTCACCCAACAGCAAATGAAGTACATTTCAGTACTTTTCGTACAATTACAGCGGTTCTAATACAAAATTTCCGATTTCAAATATTATAAAGAGTGAGATGAAAAAACTGCAACCAACTTCAGACTACTGTCAATTCTAAGCCACTCGTTCGACAGCTGTTAAAATTATTCCAGTGACAGCTCATTATATTGTTTATAAGCGTATAAAAGCATTTTGGTAAGAATTTTCCAGAAAAAGTTATTCGTGATGGAATTGAAGCGCGATAGTGTGATTTCTTTATATTTGGCTGGAAAACCACAAGTGGCTATCGTTAGAGCACTCCAGCATTTAAATGTGAATAAATCTTTTGTGTCTCGTATCATCGCTCGTTACCGCGATACTGGTAGCGTAGCCCGATGTCAAGGAAGTGGGCGGACGAAAACTGCAACATCAGCAGAAATGGTTCGAAAGTAAAGAAGCGACTTGATCGAAACCCGAGTCGCAGTGGCCGAAAAATGGATCGTGAGCTGAACTTATTCCATTCGGCAAATATTCAAAAATGAGCTGGGGTAAAGGCATTGAAATTCCAAAAAGTTCAAAAACTTACACCGCTACAGAAAGAAAATAGACTAAAAAGATCTAAAGAGCTGCTTCGCTCCGATGAGAAAACATTCGTTTGGTCCTTGAAAAAACATTTTTTAAAAAATCCCTGTTTACTTTTGGTTCTTGAAAAATATTTTATCAAAAATCTACGTTTTCGAGGACCTTAAACAATATATTTTTTAAATCCACGTTAATTTTTGGTCCTTGTAAAATATTTTTTTAAAAAACCCCGTTTTCGAGATCCTTGAAAAATATTCTCTTAACAAAACCCATTTTCGAGGTCCTTGAAAAATTTTTTAAGGTCCTTGAATAATATTCTTTAAAAAATCTACGTTTTTTAAACCATCCAAATTTACTGTCTTAAAAAAATCCTCTGTTACTTAAAAAATCCACGTTTTCGAGGTCCCTAAATAATATTTTTTAAAACATGCACTATTCCTACGTCCTTAAAATAAATATTCTTTAAAAATATCCACATTAATTGTTGGTCCCTGAATACGATTTTTTAAAAAAAATCCACGTTTTCAAGGTCCTTGATATTCTTTTAAAACATCCACGTTTTCAAGATCCTTGAAAAAACATTATTTAAAAACCCCAACCTTTTGTAGGCCCTTGAAAAAAATATTTTTTAATAAATCCAAGTTTCCAAGGTCCGTGAAAAAAATATTTTTTAATAAATCCAAGTTTCCAAGGTCCGTGAAAAAAACATAATTTAATACTCCACGTTTTCGAGGTCCTTAAAACATTTTTTAAAAAATCCACGTTTTCGAGGTCTTTCACGATTCGTCCTTTAAAACATATTTTCTAACCCGTTTCTTTTCCCCTTTTTAAAAAATCTCCCCCACTGTCCCTTGGTTCACAGGCGTTCATTGCTTTACTGGTAGCGACCACCTCTTTTAGGACATCCGTTTGTTGTGTGTCGCGGCCTTCGTTTCCCATTGTGTAAGACAGGGCTCAGGAAGCCAGGGGAGCTTAAAATGCAAAAATTGTTGGCACACAAGGAATTGTGGTGCTTTCGAAGTTACTTCCTTTGAGGATTTTTTTCTCAGCCCTGGGGGGAGATTGATAATTTTTGGAATATTTTGAGTTTAAGAAAAAACCCGTTTTCCAGATATTATTATCCAATAAATATAATAGTGTGTACACTGGTGCGTATTAATATTGAAAACACTTATACGCACTGGGTGCCTACTTTATTTATAATAATTCTTGAAAACATTATCAAGGACCATCCAAAAAAATGTGTTTATTTAGAGAACATATTTTAAAGGATCACAGGGCCAAGAAGCTAAGATCTTCTTCGAGGACATCAGAACAAAAAAATAAGATTTTTCAAGGACCATCTGGTTAAGAAGACTTGGATTTTTTAAGAATTAGGACCATGGGTCCAGGAAAACTTAGATTTATAAATCATATATTTTTGATAGCATCCTGACCAAAAAGCGTGGATTGAAAAAATTAAGAACCCCTGGACCAAGGAAACGTGGATTTTTGAAGAACATTCTTCCAAGGACTCTGGACCAATTTTGACCCAGTAATACCTTTCAATACTAATCATCCTACACACAGTACAAATTGTACTGCTAAATTTCGGAGCTCTACGTCAAATAATGTGGGCTGTATCGTGTTTCAACAGACAGACAGACGGACATCTTTAAATCGACTTAGAATTTTATATTTTATACTTTATGGGGTCTACGACGAATAAAAAGTTTGTAAACAAACAAAATGATCATGTTTACTTGCCTAAGAGATCAGCGGAAAATGTGCACCTTCGGTTGGCCACCAGAACTCAAGCGCCGGCCATGGTGATGGTGTGGGCCGCCATAACAGCCGATGGTTGCTCTCCGCACGTATTAATCGACCGTGGCATCAGAATAAATGCCGAATATTATCGCGAAAATATTCTGGAGGGTTCTTGGGCACGCAAACATTTTGGCCGCAGACCTTGGACATTCCAACAGGACTCAGCACCATCGCACTTGGCACGCGCCACCTAAGAATGGTTACAAAACGAGGTTCCTCGCTTCATTTCCAGCGCACAATGGCCACCAAAATCTCCGGATACCAATCCGTTGGACTATTGTTTCGGGAGTATTTTCGAAAGCAAGATTGGCACTAAAAAATACCAAAGTGTCGATCACCTCAAGCAAGCGCTTCGCCGGGAATGGGCCAAAATACCACAGAGCAACATTTGTGCAGCGTGTATGCATATTTTTAAAAAGGACCGAAATGACCTCTTTAAGCTTTAATTTTTTCATTGTTAAACGAAATTATTTCAAATTATTATAGCTCACATATAACGATTTTCATTTAAGCAGTATTTTTTGTCGAAGTTTTTGTTTGAAATTATTCAAGTTCCTTCCAAATGGCGGAGGGTGTCAAAAGTTCGGCTCGCCGAACTTTGCTGCTTTTTTTACTTCTTAAGTTCTATTTTTATAATCTGTTGAATATTGCCCGTAGTTTTTTTGTGTTCCACAGTGTAACTCTTCTGCCACCTGCCTCAAAATTTTCAATAAAAAAACTCAAGCTATTATATTATAGCTATGTATATAAACATAAGATGGTTTCTGTCCATAGGATATCTTTAGAGGACATTTAAAAGACCTATAGAACGTCAATTTCTGTAAAAGGTGTTAAATCTTTGGGTAACCTTCTGAAGGTCTAATATCACAAATAAACACTTTGAGGCCTTCCGCCTATTGAAGAACTTGAGGGTATTATGTATTTTTAATTAATTTTTTGTTGTTGCAGATATTGAAGCTGAATGTCAAGATGATTATATGAAAATTCGTATTGGATTTAATGGCTCTTTTAGTGGCTTGGTTTATTCGGCGGGATATGCCTATGATCCGGATTGTATGTATATCAATGGATCTGGACGGGATTACTATGAGTTCTATATACAACTAAATCGTTGTGGTACATTGGGCAAGAATGCCTTACACGATGATAATCGGAAAAATCCAACTGTAAGTGGCGCCCAATTGCTAAAGAGAATAAAATAATAATTTACTATTTATTTTAGAATTTCATGTGGAATACAGTGACCGTACAATACAACCCATTGATCGAAGAGGAGTACGACGAGCACTTTAAGGTGACCTGTGAATATGGCTATGATTTCTGGAAGACGGTTACCTTTCCGTTTTTGGATGTGGAGTGAGTATATAAAGTTGAATTTGCATGTGCATGCTTGGGATTAGAAATCATAAATTTACATATAGAAATTTAAATGACTTTGATTCACAACGTAGGGTGGCTACCGGAAATCCTGTGGTCTTTACACTGAGTCCGCCGGAATGTTATATGGAAATACAGAATGGCTATGGCATTGGTGGTCCGCGGGTAACGGGTCCAGTGCGGGTGGGAGACCCGCTAACATTGATTATCTATATGAGAAGCAAATATGGTGATAACAGTTTATTTTGGATTTCTCTCAATGAATATAAGTTTGATCGAATTTTTTTTTTGTTCTCCAGATGGCTTTGATATTGTGGTCAATGATTGCTTTGCCCATAATGGGGCCAACAAACGCATACAGCTAATTGATCAGTATGGCTGCCCGGTGGATGATAAACTGATATCACGTTTTCGGGGTTCTTGGTCGGATTCGGGGGTATTTGAGACCCAGGTCTATGCTTATATGAAAACGTTTCGATTTACAGGCTCCCCGGCCTTGTACATTGAGTGTGATGTTCGAATGTGTCATGGACGGTGTCCGGTAAGAGATGGAAATGGAAATATCAAATAGAAATGTAATTGTTTAATTTGTTGTTGTTTTTTTTAGAGCCAACCCTGCCACTGGCGTAATTTGAAAGCGGTTACCAAGCGTGATGTTTCCAACATAACTTTGGAGACGGCCGTAACCGATCAAATCCCCAATGACCTGCTAATGGATACAACGGAAAAGCCGGAAACATCTCTTTCCGAAAATGTTAATCTTTTCCAATCGTTACGTGTCCTCCAGGAAGGGGAGCCCGACGATGATGGCTTGTATGGCACAGCCAGACGTTTTGAGCCGAACATCAATCAAACCTGTCTCAAGACTAGTACCTTTTCGGCCATGACAGCAACATTTTCGGTAATGCTTTGCATTCTATCGGCCGCCCTTATGATTGCCTGCTCCCGTTTGAAACAGCGGAAGAAACAATCATCGCTCTACGATTCTTATGTAACGCACAAGGGACAAATCGATTGATTGATGGATTGATTTTAGGCCAAACGGTAGAGGAGGAGTTTTGCAGATGGAGAAGAAATTTATTTAAGCATTTCAATTTCTTGTAAATATCGATTTTAATTTTAAGATTTTTTTTTGCTCTAACCCATACATATGTAACTTTTTCCGATTAGTGTTAAGTGGATGTTAGTGTGCTAATGAAAAATAAGTATTTCTTTATTGATAATTAAGCTAGGTGTAAGCTTTGTTTTTCTTAATTTTCGTAACCGATTAAATTTAAAATAGAATAAAGTTTTGATACCATCAACTTAGAACATTATTTCTAGTTCGTATTTTATTTACAACCAGTAAGGAAAGTCAAAAGTCGGGCGGGGTCGACTATGTGATACCCTACACCACTATGCATATTTAGTAGAGCTCTCGTAACAAAAGGATTTATTTCAAGTAGATCATTTAGAGCAGTTATAGAGTACTTTGAATACCCTCCACCGTTTGGAACGAATTTGGAAGTTTTCAAAAAAAAAAAAAAAAAAAAAAAATAATAATAATAATAATATAAATAAAATTCGGTAAAAATTCTGTTAAAATCTCAAAAATACCGAATATAGCCCTTATATTGGGACCTATACCAAGACGTGGACCTGCATATGCAACTTTTGTCATAATCCATTACAATCTGCAAATATGAAACTTGCAAAAAATCCTGTAAATAATGTACCTAAAATCATCAAAATACCGAATATAGGGAGTTACCGTTGTAACGGGGCTATACGAAGACCTGGATCTGCATAGACAATTTTCTGTCTCAGGATGTAGTACCTATTGGGAACTTCAAATATGAAATCTCAAACAATTTCGGTGTGTATAGTACATAAAATCGTAAAAATACCAAATATAGGAAAATACTGATATATGGGGCCTATACGAACTGACCTAGGCCTGCATAGAAAATTTTCTGTCATAGACTTTACTTTACGAACTCTAAACACGAAATTTGATACAACTCCGGTGAGTAATGTCCCTAAAATCATCAAAATACCGAATATCAGGGGGTACCGTTTTATGTGGGCAATACGATATTGTGGACCGATTCCAGGTGATAAACTTCTCACAATTCCATTGAAAAATGTGGCTAAAATTATCTAAATACCGAATATCGTAAGGTGCCGTTATATGGGGGATATACGATATCGTAGTCCTATATAGACAATTCTCTGTTAGGGGGTAAAGTGCTTATAAAGAACAATGAGGATTTTCAGACAATTCGATTGAAAAATGTGGTTAAAATCATCTAAATACCGAATATCGGAAGGTGCAGTTATATGGAGGCTATGCGATATCGTGGATCCATATAGACAAGTCTCTGTTAGGGCGTAAAGTGCTCATAAGGAACTCCTTGTGTAGAATTTCAGACAATTCCATTGAAAAATGTGGGTAAAATCATCTAAATACCGAATATCGGAAGGTACCTTTATATGGAGGCTATACGATATCGTGGACCCATATAGCCCATCTTCGAACTTGACCTTGACCGTGCAGACAGAAGACAGATCTGTGCAAAATCTTAGCTTCCTATCTTAAGTCGATTTGACTGTAGCGTGACGGACAGAGCTAGATCGTCTTAGAATTTTACGCTGATCAAGAAAATATAAACTTTGTTGGATCTAAAATTATTATTTCGATAAGTTACAAATGGAATGACGAATTATATAACCTGCATAGTATGTGTAGGGTATATAAATATAAAATATGGTAGGGGAGGGTATAAAAATATATATCGGAACCGAGTTGCACAAAATGGAAACGTATGTTCCGAAATTCACTCCATTTGAGCTCATATTAGCCATTATTTGCACAATTAGGATTGCACGTTTAGGATATATATGGAAGCTATATCCAAATCTTAGCCGTTCTCGATAAAATTTGGCAGAGGTACTTCCGAGCTTTATAAGATATCTAGTACCAAATATCATTGTTGTCGAATGCATATTACGGATGTGAGGGACTTAAAACCAAATCGGATGAAACCTATATATAGGTGTTTTAGTTAAGTAAGATGCGGATTTGCATAGGCAATTTTCTGCCATAGTAGTAGTAGTATCCATTACAAACTTCAAATACCAAATTTGAAACAATTTCCGTGAAAGGTATTATTAAATTGGCGTATACCGAAACAAAGAACTATTTGAATATGGCATGCTGCGAAGACATCAAAATACTTTACATTTTCCAGTGGACCTGTGGAAATGTGAACCCATTTTCAATTCCAAAAATTGTATGAGCCTTTTATACGTTAGGAAAGACAGACAAAAGGTTGGTCTGACTAAATCGACATAGAATTTTATGCTGATCAAGAATATATGTACTTGTAGGGTCTGTTTCGAGGGTCGGATTAACAAAGAACATATACCCTCCGCACTGTGGTGGAGTTTTTGAAACATGAATTAATGTTTTTAAAAGTCGAATCGGCTGATATCGGCCTAAATGCGCAAACAATTATATCGCCCTCTAGAAGAGAAAAACAACACTATTTTTTCATTTAGTCGTTTTCTTTAGCGTAGTGGCGTTGCCAACTCTTTTAAATCATTTCTCTGTCTTTGTCTGTACTAAAGAAATACATGCATAGCGTAAAGCATATTTTTAGGAGCAAAATATTCTTACAAAGGCAACCCAGCATGACATTTGTTGTGACAAAATTGGAACATGCGTAGTAGAAAAATTACGTTTTGAGGGTGGATTCCATGAAAATATGACAACAAAAATCAGCTGTTTGTATGAAAAACGTGCTTCGACGATGTAAACAAATTGAATGTTTACAAACTTTTCCACATGTTTTAAAGAGAACCCTTGTACTACTCATGCGCCAAAAATGAACTCAAAGAGAGCGGGAGAGACAGAGCCACAGATACAGCATCTCCAATTTCGATATCCAGAATCCTGGCTACAGGACATACATTTTTTCACAACCAGTTATCGCATCCGCACCCAAGAATGAACATCTCAAACTCAAAGTAATCCGAGGAAAAGAAGAAATTAGAATTGTAGAAGAAAAAATGTGTATATAGAGAAAAAATTTAGAGGTAATGAAAAATTTCTTAAAATTGAAAAATAAGTTCAATGAAAAAGTGTAATTATTTGAAAACAAAGTGTAAAACATAATGAAAAAATATATGTATATATGGTTATTTTGTAATTTCAATTTTCTTTAAAATAAGGTCATTTATAACCAAAAAAGAAGAAGAAGAAGAAAGAAAAATCAAGGCGTAGTCTCGGCTGTGCAAAAAAAAAAGTAAAAAATTTATGGGAAAAATCAATTGCATTGCAATGAAAAACTAAATTTTAATAATGGAAATTCAGCTTTGAGTTGGAGGTAGAAAATTTCCACAGCTGCAGCTGCTGCTTGTAAGTAAGGGGATTATCAGGGCCACTGCTTTACCAATATGGATTACCTAAAGTCTCCCTTTGGCCTGGGCGTAACCCTGGCTATTGCCCTCTTGACCTGTTCCCTGTTACAAGGTATGTATGGCAGTAGTCATATAATAATCGATTTGTTAATATTATTTAGTTGATTTCAATTATGCCTTTTGGATAAAAAAGCCAATAATGTTTTGTTTTATGATTTTGAGTTTTTTTTTCTGTGGAAATTTTTCTTTCCCAATTTTTGGTTTTTTCTTCTTTGGTTTTGAAAATTCCTTAATCCCCACAAAACTAATTGATTTAGCGAGTTATGTAACAGCTTCCCAAAAAATAAAACGAATATACAGTAAAACTAATGAATACTCAGAAACGACAGAAACAAAAACAACCAGGATGCTAGAGGAAAAAGAAAAATACAGGAAAGGAACACAAAGTAATCAATAAGCGAAACAATGATTTGATTTTTTTCTAAAGTTTTACAAGAAAAACTATTTAAAAAAGAAAACTTTGACAATTTTTTAAAATTTCCACCACCACGTCGACCTTTATCCAGGGGAAAAAACTACAACAACTATGGAACATCAGATCTACACACGCACACATAATCACAACATATTACATTTTCAATATAAATAATAAAAAAAAAACAAAACCAATACATTCACACAGAGTTGTATAGAGACGGCAGGATGTCAAGACAGTTGTTAAGAATAGGAATTTTAAAATTTGCCAAAGTTTTCTGTAAAGCATTCAACTCCTCACAAATGACCTTCGTAATAAACAGCCTTAACCCCCCGCCTCTAACCAAGCCTGCCTATCTGAAGTCGACAAAAATTTTCCTGCATTGATAGTATTTTTTTTTTCTCTTAACTTGCTTGATAAACGAATTAGAGTCAAAACTGAAACTAAACACTTTTTTCACTAAATAAATTTTATTTTTAATTCAATAATATTTTAAATCTCCAGAGATTTCAGCTATAAAGTATATATACAGTTTTTTTTTCAAATTAAAGAAATACCTACACACATATAGTCTTATCCATATATATACTAATACAACAACAATAAAATATAGTATTGTAATCAAGCAAAGTATTTATAGCTTTCTCCCTCCAAAGAAAAAAACATTTTCTGTTTCAAATGCCTTCTTCCCCTAACTCTCTGCCAATAAGCGAAATGAAATGAACAAAACAAAACAACAACGTTAATGCCAAGAACAAGTAAAACATACAAACGCAAACCTTAAGACAAACCAAGAAAAACAAAAATCAAAAAAAAAAAAAAATATGAAAAGAAACTAATCCCAATAATAAGGGTTGCGTTCCGCATACATGGGTATTTACACAACGGTGTAAACTGTGTGTGAGACATGTTTAATAACAATTGAACATATCGTAACAAAAATAACAAAAAAATAAATCTAATGATGTTTTATGCCAAACTTCCATTAGTGATGATGTTAAAATCAGATTTCTGTATCAACAGCCGAATCTTAATTCATACTCCTTCTGATGCCAATCAATAATCATCGTTAAAATGGTTAAAAAAAAAACAAAGATTTCTTTCGTCACAAGGGAATGCAACGTCACAAAAGAAACAAACAAACATGACAAATATAAACTGCTATGTTTTACAACTACATTTACAATTGAACACATTACCTAGAGAATATGCCAAAAATAAACAAAAAAAAAACTCCACTTTAAGCACATTGAATTCACAAAACAGCACAGAATAGGAGTACCACCCCCAACAAAAAAAAAGAAATAATCATAATATTTCCTGCTTGAAACATCAAACAAAACGTTGCCTTTCATTGTACCCTGTTTCAAGTGAAAACCTCCAACCATGACTACAAAGTACAAATTTTCTCCCCGTGTAGATGTAATTCTGCCTCAACCCCTAAAGTATGCTTTGTTTTTAATGTCATCTCCACTACTATCATCGAACGACACATTTTCGTTTATCTAACTCTGAACTACGTTAATATTTTGCTATTTATCACAACTACTACTCCTCTCTATCTCTACTTTGATAAATGCTCTCTCTCACACACTCACACACATATTTAACCTCCCCTGCCACTTTTGAAGGCAATTTAAGTCAAGCTCTCCAAAAAAAAAAAAACCATTAACTCTTCTTGTTATTAATATAGGCGGCACGCACACACACTCACACTCATCTTCCACTTCATTCAACCACCCCCCCACAACACCCCTCCCACTTAACACTACAGCTTTTACAATTGTTTAATAGGAACACTCACAAAACACATTGCATTGTTTACATTTGACTTACACCATTTCTCTTTCCATGCAAACTTTTTTACACACCTACACACACATAAACTTTCTTTTTCTTAATCTCTTTCTCTCTCTCTATGAATGCGGTTTTTTGATAATAATTTCAATTATTCTCTTTCTGTCTCTCGCTCTCTCTCTCTCGTTTACGATTCACGGTCATCGTGTTATTTTTGGGACACTTTTTGCTCTAACATTTTAGTTTAGTTCTCTCATTTATTTCCCAAACTCTTTTAGTATTTCTCTTTCTCTCACTCTGTTGTTGTTGTTGAAGTTACAAAATGTCATTATTAAATGCTAGCAAGTTGTGATAACTTGTTATAGTGTCTTATTTTATGCGGTCTGTTTAAACTGCCAGGTGCACTTTGAACATTGTCATCATTGTTGTTGTTCCACATAACTGTAAAAAACGAAACAAGCCATTTAACCTTCTCTCATTAATAAAAATATAAAAATATTTAATTCATAAAACAGGCACACAACCCATTTATGATTGATCAGGACCTGTATATACTTAGGCTCTCCAACACGATAAATTGCATTGTCATTATTTATTTGACACATGTATAATATGTAAACGTTTATAACAAAAGAACGTTTTCCTAACATAGAAAACCTTCTGCCTAAGAGTAAGGGATCTGATAAAAAAAGGATTTTTAATTTATCATAGGAATATATTAATAAATTTATTGTCCCTCAAAGTAATCCCTCTCAAATGCAATACATTTATAGCAGCGGTTTTTCTCAAATACTCGAGAGAGGTGTCTTCAGGTTTGGGAGAGTAAAAAATTAGCGAGGACCAAGGCCGGTAAATACGGTAGCCGAAAACTCAAAAAACTAAAATATACACATAATACTTGCAATTGCAATTCATGGTTGATTTTTTATAATTCTAATCGAAGTGCTTCGCGCAAACGGCACATAACTTCCAGGAGGTAGTCCTTATTGAACGTACAAGTTTGTGGCAAATACACGTCATGGATCACTCCATTGCAAACGAAGAAAACATTGAACGGTGTTCGCTTTTCTGGACACTTACATAGGAATGACTGAGCCTTGGTTTTAATGTCGTAATCATAAACCCATGATTCGTTACCACTTATGGCCTTGTAGTCGTTTACCATGTTCAATAGCTCTCGAGCGATGTCCATGCGATTTAGGAACTACGTTCGCTGCAACAAATTTTTCGCCTAAACATCCGTACCAAATGCCAAAATCTTCACCAACCTCTCTAATAGTGATTCGACGATTATCCAAAATCATTTTCTTCATTGCTTTAATGGTTTTATCCGTTGGTGGCGTGCTCAGGTGATCAGGAAGAGCAATATCATTGTCATCTTCTCTGCTTTCCCCAACCGAGCATTGAAACTATATTCTGCTCACATTAGGCTCGCCAAATTCTACAGTAAACATTTCAAATGATATTCTACTTTAAATATAAAATTACACAAAATATAATACAGTTTCTTTGATAAATTTCTTCCGAATAGTAAAAAATGAAGTCCACGCCTTTTTATCTGTAAAAAACAAACTGAGAATCCGAAATGGCTAATATTATATTATAACATATAAAAAATAAAATTCAAAATTCGAACATAAGCAACTAACCAGACTACGTATTTTATGGCAAAAATATCTTTCAAAGAAAATGTCAAATGAAAGTGCTGTCATCTCTTGTGATGTGTTTCACAAATTTCAAATTCAAATTTACAAAATTTCAAATATTATAACAAATACTTTTTGAACTCAAAACAGCACAAATTCTTTCCGACAGATCTCTCCATGGCCAGTCTTGATTGCTAATAATTGTTTCTACGGTTGATTTTCGAAAATAATTGAATGAGGCGTGTCAACCAAATAGTTTCAGGGTTTAGAGTAAAAATACCCAATTCACTTAACCCTGTTATCCCAGTTACAAAGAAAGAAAAAAAAAACATTTGATATTACAAAAAATATCCACAAAGCGGAATCATGGTATGAAGAAGGATTCTATCGTTAAAAAAATCAAAATTGAAAAATCGAAGAAGTCCCGACAATGAAGCCGACTTTTTACAATATGAATCTTATTAAAAGAACTCCAAAAAATAATTTAGCAATTTAACGACGGACTGCTTCTAAATTCAGTCAATAAATATATTTTAGTGTGAAATATTCAACGACGAAACATAATCTTTCTAAGTCCAGTTGACACATGCAAAGGGATAAAATTAGAAATCTTATTCAATATGCTGATTTAAGAAATACGTACTACCCAGCTCATTAAAGTTTATAATTACCTAGGTAATATAAATGAAAATATTTTTCATTTTAATATTTTCGAAATTAGCTAGAATGGCGCCCAACTTGGGTACTAAAATAATATTCTCTTTGGAGCCATATTGCAGCAAATGGGGAAGTAAATCAAACAATGAAAAATTAGTACTGCAGTGAGTTAACATCACCGTGGATCAAATCGAATGCTCCCTTTGAAAGGTGGTTCCGATTTATGGTGCCCTATCGTTGAAAGTAGAATATATAGAGTGTTTCGATTGAAATAAGTAAAATACGATTTTGAAAAATGATTGAAAAAAAAAAAAAAAAACACTCTGAATCCAATTTTTCAAATTTCGAAAATGTGTTTTAGAGAAGGAAGCGTAGTTCCTTTTAATCTGCCAAATTTTATCAGATGGGTTCAGATTTGGATATGTCTCCCATATATATACATATTTTCGCGATTTCAAGTTTATTCTGCACCAAATGATTAATATAAGTCCGAATTGATTGATTGATTTTGGCACATATGAACGAATTCAGCCTGAAAGACAATTATATATAGCTAATATATAGCTATAGGTTGCATATATATGTTTTATCCGAGTTTGTATTTGAGTACCTCACACGCGTAAAATGCACTCCACAAAAACGATATATTATCTAAGCTACATCATTGAAATAAGTCTTCTAAATTCTATAGAGATCGTTTCAGATTTGAACATAGCTCTTATATATATTTTCATCCGATTTCATGTTTATTGTGCCTAAAAAGTTTAATATCATATCAGCTCAAATAGCAACGATTTTAATGAATATCGGTTGAGATTCGGATAATATACCTCTCATTTAATAGTTCTTTTCGGTTTTCAATTACATATAACTAAATTAAATTATAATACGCATTCCAAAACGATCATAATTCGTATGATATAATTTTCATACTATCCCCATAAAGACGTTTATTTATGCACTGCGGTGTAGGGCATCATAAAGTCGGCCCGTCCGATTTTAGGCATTTCTTTACTGGTTAAGAGTAGAACAGTGCCAACGTTTATATTTTTAGAGGCCTGCGTAAGCATGTGAAATATTCTCGACACTATATGAAATGTTGATTTTTAATTTTAAAAACTGTTAATAATATTTTATAATGGGTTCAATTAAAAACTCGCCTGGAAATAAACTCTCCACTTTGAAGACTAAAGTATTCAGAATACAAAATTATATCATTCATAGATATTAAAGAGATTGAGGCACTAACATTTAGGCACATCTTTGATTTGTAGAAACCCGATTAAGGATGCAAATATGTATATTCTTTTATATAAATCTAGAAACAAAAAAAAAAAAAAAGCCTGGCGGTAACTAGAATCGGCACAAAGTTTTGTTTGAGAAAAAAAGTTTCCGCACTATTAGCTCACATCATCAGGGCACATTTTACCTAGAGGGCACCAATTTATGTTCGTTATTACGTACATTCAGTCAAATGGCTCTGAAAATATTACAGAATATTATCCATCCAATTTTGGAAACAATTTTCATATAATGAGTTTTAACATGTATTTCCAATGTTATGAATATACAATACAGGGAAATATCAAATTGCTGCTAATATTTAAAGATAAAAATGTCAACATATTGCATTGAATATGTTCTAACATTTAATAGTTAAGAACATAATACTTTTGGACATGGCATAATAATATAAGGTAACCTCATGAGAATTTTTTCAGATTTTGTAAAAAATCAATGCCACTATTAACTTTAAGTTCCGCAAGAGTAATTTAATGACTTTAAACAGGAGGCGAAATTACCTCATGGTCTTTCCTTGCTCTCAAAAGTTTTTCTGTGTGTATTCTATCATCTTTTACATTTCAATATTGAACAAGTATTTTTCTTAAAATAGGAATATGTTTAATATAAAAGTTTTATTCTGCAAAAAATTTAATGAAATAATCTTTAAATGTATTTTTAAATCATATCTGAGCCACAAATAAAAAAAGAAATATCATCGGAGATTTATTAAATGAGGCTACCTTCCGTAATTATGCCATGCTCCTACAAGACAAATAAATCTATAATAGACTTATTAATAACTAAACATTTTTTATTGATTTCAATTGCGTAATTAAAGACTTCGAAACATAGTTTCTTGTCTGAAAATCACAAATACATTCTCGTCTATTCAACGAACCGAAATTAGTAACGTCTTTCTTACTCTCCATGTTCTCAATTCGTGTATAAACACGTGATTAACAAATAAATTTATTTTAAACAAATATCTCTATTTTCAAATCTAAACTTTAACCAAAAAAATAATACTCATTACTATATCTCACTGCGAAATCATAACTCCATAACCCTTGAACACCCTATCCTCCTTTATCATTACCGAGAATTCAAATATAAAAATCCTTATTTTGTTTTAAGTTTCCTTTGATTTGCCCCATTATTACGAAAAAAAAGAAAATCTCATTTGAAATAGAAACAAAAACTAGACAGAAAAGAAAACAACAAAAAATTCTTCCTTTTTGCATCTATATATTATTTTTTTATTCTGTGTACTCTTTTTTTACGTTCAAAAATAAAACCAAAAACAATAAAAAACAAAAACTCTCCATTACCAATCCAATTCTATGATACATACAACGTCGCTTCCAAAAAAACAAACAAACGTAGTAAATGCATCCGAAGATGAAGAGCGTCTGGTACGTGACCTCTTTCGAGGGTACAATAAACTCATACGACCCGTACAAAATATGACACAAAAAGTTGGAGTAAGATTTGGTTTGGCGTTCGTACAGCTAATCAATGTCGTAAGTGTTTGTCAATTACAAAAATTACAAAACTAACAAAAAACAGAAAAAATAACAAAAAAAAATCAAACTCAAAATAAGTACTTGTACTAAAAAGAACCATGCCAATATGTACTAATACTTATTATCACTAATATAATCAAAAACAAAAAACTGCAACACTTTATGCGTTCCAAAACCAAAAGGAATGGAACTTATTTCTTTGTGTTTGTTCGTGAATTTGTTTGTTACGTTTTCCCTGTTTAGCGCAAGAATATACCTAACCCCAAATATTTAGCAAATCAGTAGTAGTGCGAGAATAGTTTTTTGTTCGACATGGTTTTTCTTTGTTTCCTTTGTAAAATATTAGATTTTTAGCTGAATTTAAGTTTTGTTTTTTTTTTTTTGTATAGAATAAAATGTAAATAATACAATATAACTTACTAACATTTAGAGTAGCATTAATAAATATTGAATATTTCTGCTTATGTAAATAAATGAATAAATTAGAAAAAATATTTATTCAAAACAGAATCCTTAATAATATTAAATATATTTTCCGCTTTTGTATAATGAACGTTTTAACTGAAGATGTTTTTTTTTACTGGGAGAAGGTATGGAACTAAAAGGTCAATATACCAGAAAAAGACAGTATCCACCTAATTCTATGCTTGGAATTGGTTAACACAGTTTATCATCGATAATGACCTGTTTATGGGCGAAAATCTCTCCATTGGCATTAATCTCATAAATGTCGCCTCACACCTTTTTATACCCTACACCAGGGTATTAGGTCTTAATGCATTTGTTTGTAACAGGCAAAAGGAAACGAGTTAGACCCTTTGATGATCTTCATAGAATCACATTCTGAGTCAATTTATGCATATCCGTCCGTCTGACCATGTATTTTTATAAACAAAGTACAGTTCGCATTATTGCCCGATCCAGATGAAATTTTGCACAAATCATGTGTTTGGCCCAAGGACGAACCCTATTGAAATTGGAGATAATCGGTAAAAATTTAGATATAGCTCTAATATATATATTCGTCAGATTTGCCTTTTATTGTGCATCAAACATGTAGTATCGGCCCAAACAGTATGAAATTTTGCACATACAACCAAATCAGGCCTGCAAATAAGTATGCCAAATTTGATCGAAATCGCTTTAGATATAGCTATAGCTCCTATATATATTTGTTATTTTTGTCCTCCGCGGCCGTAATATACACTCTATAACAACAATATTTGGGGAAATATATCAAATGCAGCTCAGAAATACCTTTGCTAAATTTTATCGAGATCGGTTCAGGTTTGGATATAGCTCCCATATATAACTTCATCCGATTTATTTTTTATTGTACACCAAACGTCTAATATTTGTCCAAATCGGATGGAATTTGGTACTTAAGACCGAATTGAGTCTAGAAGCTAGTATGCCAAATTTGGGGAAGATAGGTTCAGATATAGCTATAGCTCCCATATCTATTGTTAATCCGATTTGTTATATTTGTTGCCCACAGCCGTAATATGCACTCTGTACAAAATACTTTGTACATACTTTTGAGTGCGGTTAAGGCGCTGGGAAAAAACTAGCAATAAACAATCAATATTCAAAAATTACATATTTCCCAGCCGCCATAAAATACCACATGTGAACAATTCGGTGATCTTGTGCGCTGACGCATACGATAATGTGTCAGATAATAAAGGTTATGACCCACACGCACAGATATCGATGCGCTCAGTAGATGCACAAGACCACTAGAATGAAATGACAAGCAGCCCTGCAATGTTCTCCATTCAATATTAGAATAGATAAGAACAATTGTGTGGCTGCGACTAGGTTAAGATTAGTTTCAGTAGTACGTAAGGAACAAATATTTTAAATAAAAACAGAATTGAATCAACAGCCATACCGTTCGGTTGCTTTCTCTTCTCATTCACACTCCGTAACAAGGATATTCAGGGAAATATATCAAATACAGCTCCAAAATATCTTTGCCAAATTTTAGCGAGATCGGTTCAGATTTGGATATAGCTCCCATATATATCTTTATCCGATTTCAAATTAATTGTGCATAAAATTTTATGTGGAGCTTTACAAAATTAGCAAAGTGGTGTAGGGTATCATAAAGTCGGACCCGACCGACTTTAAGACTTTTTTTACTGGTTTTTGTATCAAAATGAGATTATTATAAGTTTTTTGGTTGCGAACAGTCATGTGAATGTTCCGGGAATATACCAAACAGAATAAAATAAAACTGTCATTATTTGAAAATATCTATTTAATTGTGTAGTGGGAGTTCGGTAATTGTTGCTGTTTAAGTTATAAACAAGTAAAAAAGCTGTAAGTTCGGCCGGACGAATTTGGCAATTCTCAAAAACAAAAAAAAATCCGTTAAAAATTCTGTTAAAATCTTAAAAATACCGAATGTAGCTATTATATTAGGATCTATACGACGACATGAACCTGCGTAGGTAACATTTGTCATAAGCCATTACAATATTCGAATGCGAAACTTAAAAAAAAATCGGAGAATAATGTAGCTAAAATCATCAAAACACCGAATATTGCGAGGTACCGTTATATGGGGGCTTTACGAAGAGGTCGACCTGCACAGACAATTTTCTGTCGTAGGCTGTAGTATCCATTACGAACTTTAAATACCAAATATGAAACAATTCCTGTAAATAATGTCGCTAAAATCATCAAAATACCGAATATCGGGAGGTAGCGTTATATGGGGGCTATACGAAGACATGGACCTGCACAGACAGTTTTCTGTCTTCGGCGATACTATCCATTTTGAACTTCAAATACCTAATTTGAAACAATTCCGGTGAATAATGTCGCCAAAATCATCAAAATACCGAATATCGGGAGGTACCGTTATGTAGGGACTAAATGAAAACGTGGACCTACATGGCCCATTTACAAACTTAACATACCTACTTAACCTACTGGCGAAATAAACATGTGTGCAAAATTTTAGCTTTCTATCTCAATTCGTTCGAAAGATAGCGTGATTACAACAGACAGACGGACATCGCTTTTAGAATTGTACGCTGATCAAGAATATATACACTTTGTTGGGTCTGACATGAGTATTTCGAGGAGTTACAAACGGAATGACATAGTATGGTGGAGGGTATGAAAATAAATGCTTAAGTCTGGAGTAAAAAGAAATGTTTCCTTCCAATAACTATTGAGGAAGTGACTTCCACGATTCTCAGAAGTAATGCTGTATGCTCTATTTAGTCATGCTTAAAAATATCGCGGGCGTGGTTCATCTCTTCCTGAAGGATGCTCCTTCCGGGGTGAAAAGAGATATCAAACGCGATGATTTCTACGACTTCTAAGTGATTTGCGAGATATTTTTTGGGTAGGACTCTACAGCTGGGTAGGACTCTACAGGGTTGCCCATATTCGACGGACCCATGTTTTTTTCGGCCATTTCGATGAGTCTTTGGGCCGAGGCTTGTCCGCAGGGAGCAAATGCAAATCAATGCGAATAATCCGTTGTAAAGTGGACCGATGTTCTTGGGGACCTCTCAACACTGGCTCGTACGGCAGCGATATTCTCGGCCGATCGCCTTGGTCGACTTTTATATGGCCTCTTTGGATTAGAAAGAGCCTTACCAGTCGAACATTTTTCGTATAAACGCTTAATGGTGTTCTTAGAAGGCGCACTTCTCACATTTTAAAAGCACGTTGAGTTTTAACAATTGACTTCTTCTGTTGAATGTAAATTTCAACTATTTCAGAGAGCTCGCGTGGCGTGTATTGGTTCATTGTAAAAAATCTGCTTGGACTGACGCTTCAAACGCGGTATGTCATTAAGCGATGTGAAATCTCTGTCAAAAGTTATGGCGTTGCCAGATGGGTCCGTCGAATATGGGCAACCCTGTATATACGGATATTTATCAAAAAAAAAAAAAAAAAAAAAAAAAAATACATTGTCATCTAAAAGAGTCTTAACTTTTCAATATTGTGTTGGATTCGTAATAACTCGGAAAGATGTACACGAGTTTGAGTTGGTCAATGTTTACAACTTTATTTGACGGTGGTTAGCTTTTTATACCCTACACCACAAGGTGGTCAGGGTATTATGTCTTTGTGCATTTGTTTGTAACAGGCAAAAGGAAACGAGATAGACCCATAGTTCCTTTTGATGATCTGCATAGAATCACATTCTGAGTCGATTTATGCATGTCCGTCCGTCCGTCTGTCCATGTATTTTTGTAAACAAAGTACAGGTCGCATTTATTGTCCGATCCAGATGAAATTTTGCACAGATCATTTGTTTGGCCCAAGGACGAACCCTATTGAAATTGGAGATAATCGGTCAAAATTTAGATATAGCTCCCATATATATCTTCGTCCGATTTGCCTTTTATTGTGCACCAAACGTGTAATATCAGCCCGAATTGTATGGAATTTTCCACATACAACCAAATGAGGCCTGAAAATATGTATGCCAAATTTGATCGAAATCGGTTCAGATATAGCTATAGCTCCCATATATATTGTTCATCCGATTTGTTATTTTTGTCCACCGCCGCCGTAATATGCACTCTGCAACAACAATATTTAGGGAAATATATCAAATACAGCTCAGAAATACATTTGCAAAATTTTATCGAGATCGGTTCAGATTTGGATATAGCTCCCATATATAACTTCAGCCGATTTACCTTTTATTGTGCACCAAACGTCTAATATTTGTCCAAATGGGGTGGAATTTGGCACATACAACCGAATTGAGCCTAGAAGCTAGTATGTCAAATTTGGTGAAGATCGGTTCAGATATAGCTATAGCCTCCATATATATTATTCATCCGATTTGTTATATTTGTTACCCGCAACCGTAATATGCACTCCGTAACAACGATATTCAGGGAAATATATCATATACAGCTCAAAAATATCTTTGCCAAATTTTATCGAGATCGGTTCAGGTTTGGATATAGCTCCCATATATATATTTATCCGATTTCAAATTGAAAATATTTACACACCTAAAAGAGAATATAGAAGACAATTATATAAGCAGAAAGATTCATTAAAATGTAAATAAAATATTTTTACTAACACCAATTTATATAAGTTCTAATATATATAATTTAATTTAAAGTAAAAACCCTTAAATGCAATGTAAAATACATGAAATACATTTAACTAACTTACAAAAAAAAGAAACAGAAAAATACCTCAACTAATGTTAACAAACTAATCCTAGAGTTAGTGAATGACTTGAAGTTTTGTTATGAATTTGAATCACAAACTTTTTTCTTGATTCTTGCAAAAGATAACGATCACTGATTTGTTTTTTTTTTTCTTACAAACTTCTTCTTATTTCCTCTACTACTACTACTACTTCTTCGTAATAATTCTCACACATAAACGATAATCGAAAAAAAATCACAAAAATCCGATTCAATAAAATTAAAAAAAAAAAAACTAACCGAAAACAATTTCTCACACCTAATAATTTTTATTCGATTCGTCCCAAAAAACAAATCTCGAAACAACAATCCACACACTCACACCAAAAATAACTTTGAATTATCGTTCACTTGTCTTCGTACCCCCCGTCCTCCAACAACTACAAACACACACACACATAATTTCTGTTGTTGTCGTTGTTAACTTGAAATCGAATTAACCAAAAATCAAATCAATCACAATCAATTTTTGTCACAAAAATCGCCACGCGTGACCCCTTCACCACGACCACTACCACAACTACTAACTACCACCACTACCACCACCACCACAACCACCCACACCATGACCACCACCTCGACAGAATGAGAAAAATCAAATTATGAAATCAAACGTTTGGTTACGTTTGGTTTGGTATGATTATCAATTACAATGGGACGAAGCTGATTACGGCGGTATTGGTGTACTGCGTCTGCCGCCCGATAAGGTTTGGAAACCGGATATTGTGTTGTTCAATAAGTGAGTACATTTGCAATTGTCATCATTATCATATGCAACATACATACATACAAATATATTACATATCACTACTGAGAAATAGTTAGTCAATAGGGATAATTGTTAGTTAGATATAGATTGGGTGTATTAGTTGGATTCACTTTTAATGAGGGTATATATTCCGGGAATTGGCTTAAAGGGCATTTGGTATAGAGATTAGCGGATAAGGAATATATGTCCGATAGCTCTGTATAAACTTGTCTTCTAGGAAAAAAATTGAAATTTAATATCATATAATAAAGGTAAACTACTAAGAAAGCTGTAAGTTCGGCCGGGCCGAACTTTGTATACCCTCCACCATTTGGTACAAATTTGGCAATTTTCAAAAAAATAAAATCCATTAAAATCCTGTTAAAATCTTAACAGGCAACTTTTGCATTAAGCTATTACAATATTCGAATGCGAAACATGAAAAAAATCTGTTTATAATGTTGCTAAAATCTTCAAAATTTCGAATATCGGGGAGGTACCGTTATATGGGGGCTATACGAAGACGTGGACCTGCACAGACAATATTCTGTCATAGGCTGTAGTATCCATTACGCACTTCAAATACCAAATTTGAAATAGTTCCGGTAAATAATGTCGCTAAAATTATCATAATACCGAATTTCGGGGGTACCGTTATGTGGGGGCTATAAGAAAACGTGGATCTACATGGTCCATTTTCTGTCTTAGGCTGTAGTATTCATTACGAACTTCAAATATCGATTGTGAAACAATTCCGGTAAATAATGTCGCATATCGGGAGATACCTTTATATGGGGGCTATATGAAGACGTGGACCGGCACTGATAATTTCCTGTCTTAGGCTGTAGTATGCATTACGAACTTCAAATAACAAGTTTGAAATAAATTCCGGTGAACAATGTCACTTGAATCACAAAAATGCCGAAAATAGAGAGGAACCATTATATGGGGGCTATACCAAAACGTGGACCTACATGGCCCATTTTCAATAGCAAATGTCTTGCAGACATAGTACACATTTGAGTGAAATTTTATCAACCTACTTCATTTTGTTCAAAAGCTGGATGATTTCCACAGACGGATAGACGGACGGGCATTGCCATACTATGCTTGATTGGGACGAAGTTTTTATGCCCTCTATTAATAAACAACCAATATTGTAAAATAAGCTCTTTTCAAATTCTAAAGAGTTTTTTGGGGCTTTGACCATATGTTAGGGTCCGAAAACATAGAGAAATGAAGACCGGCCTTTGGTTAACAATTTTTGATAGAACCTTCATAATACCCACAAATAGGGCTAACCCTTATATGAGGGAAATTTCAAATTCTTGATTATTGAAATTAGTCACTATCTTTAAACTCCAAAAAGACTGTGGTCCATTACATCTAGAAAAGCAGCAAGTTTGTCCATGCTGAACTTTGATGGAATTTTCAAAAAAAAAAAAAAAATGCTGTTATTTTGGGGCCAAAATAAAAACATGGACCTGCATATGCAATTAATGTCATAGGCCATATTCGAATACGAAATTTGTATCAATTCCGGTAAATAACCTCACTAAATTCATCAAAACTCTGAATATTTGAGGGCACGAGGACCTGCATAGGTAATTTTTGGCTGTAGGCTGTAGCACCCATTAGGAACTTCAAATTAGAAAATTTGAAACAATTCCGGTGAAAAGTGTGACACAAATCATCAAAACACCAAATATAGGAAGGTACAGTTATATGGGGACAATACCAAAACTTATACCTATAGTGACAGTTCTAAGCAAGGATGTTTCTTACATAATGGAATATACCAAAACGTGGGCCTATATCGCCCATGTTTCTAAAGAGTAGTTGATTTAAACATGTTCGTCTGTTGAAATTGAGATAGAGTCCACATTATTTTAATTATAGCTTTGGGATTTACCCCAAAATGTTGTAGTTTGTCGTGGATGTTTGGTACCTCTCATAACGGAAACTCTTTTCGATATTTTGAAGGCTTTAATTGCCATTTCTAACCAAACCTGCAGGAATTTGTCATTTCGGGTTCTTAATAAATGACATATCTTTTTGTAGAACAATTTCAGAATAAGTTCACAATATATTGTAGTCTGCATACAGCTTTACATTTCGATTTTATGTATTTGAAAACTTGTACTTATATTTTTCGACCCAATTAATCCCAATTTGACAATATAGTTTTTTAGATGATGTAAACATATATATAAATATACAAGATCAACAAGTAAAAAAAAACCTTAAGTTTGGCTGGGCCGAAATTTCAATACCCTCCACCATTAGGTAAAAAAAATTATAAATAAAAATATCAAGATTCAAACGTGTTCCACTTTAATATGCAAGTACCAGTGAGATCGGTTGAAGAATGGGGTTAAATTTAAAAAAATAAAAAAAGGGAGTGGAACCTTTATATGGGGGCCATGACAAAACGGCAACAATTTTCTACTTCCAGGATTGTTTATCATCCGTGGAAAAATGAGGCTAGGATCATCAACATTTGCATATCGGTGGGTACCGTTATATGGAAATCTTGGACAAATATGCCCAATGTTTTAACAAAGTTGTGGAACGCATTATGAACTATAAATAGCGATTTTGAAACAAATCCGAAATAAAGCATGGCATAAAACGTTAAAATACCGGATAGCTGTATATATCCGATATTTTAACGTAGGGGGCTGTAGTAAAACTGTTAATATTAATTTTGACAAAATGCCGTCGAAAAATTTGGTAAAAATTATCGAAATACTGAATATCCGAAGATACCGTTACATTGGACCCATATTAAAACGGCGACCTATACAGACATTGTTCTGCCACCAGAGGTAGAATGCGTTTAGAACTTTTAAAGCCGATTTTGAAGTAAATCAAATAGAAAATGTGACTTTAATCGTCCAAATTCCGACCGTTATATGGGCGCTATAGAAAAACGTGGATTATTTTCTGTTACCGGTTCTAGAATTCATTACGAATTCATGGACAAATTAGTAGGAGAATGAGGCTTTAATCGTCAAAATATCGAATATCCGTAAGTACCGTTATATGGGTGCTATAGTAAATCATGGACCTATAGAGATTATATTCAGTCACCAGACCAGATTATACATTATGGTGCCCACGACGAATAGTTAGAGGTGTTCCAAGGTGGAGGGGATAGACAAGTTTCTTGAAGAATATAGGACTTTCCATTCCCAAATAGTTCAACAATTTGCCCACAAAAAAGGCTGAATGTTCGGACTGGCCGAACTTTGAATATCCTCCACCATTTGGAACAAATTTGGCAATTTTCAAAAAAATAAAAAAAAAGTTAAAAATTCTGTTAACATTTTAAAATTACCGAATATAGCTGTTATTTTAGGGTCTATACGACGACGTGGACCTGCATAGACAAATTTTGATATAAGCCATTACAATATTCAAATGTGAAACTTGAAAAAAAAATCGGTGAATAATGTAGCTAAAATCATAAAAATACCGAATGTAGTGAGGTACCGTGGCTATATCAAAACGTGGACCTGCTCGGACAATTTTCAGTCATAGGCTGTAGCATCCACTACAAACTTCAAATACCAAATTTTAAACAATTCCGGTGAACAATGTCGCTAAAATCATCAAAATGCCGAATATCGGGAGTTACTATTATATGGGGCCTATACCAAAACGTGGACCTGTACAGACAATTTTCTGTAATATACTGTACTATCCATTATGGACTTCAAACACCAAATATGAAACATTTACGGTGAATAATGTTGCTAAAATCATCAAAATACCGAATATCGGGAGGTACTCTTATATGGGGGCTATTCGAAGAAAAGGATGTGCACAGACAATTTTCTGTCTTAGGCTGTAGTATCCATTACCAACTTCAAATACCAAATTTGGAACAATTTCGGTCAATAATGTCGCTAAAATCATCAAAATACCCCATATCGGGAGGTACCATTATATGGGGGCTATACGAAGACGTGGACCTACTTAGCCCATTTTCAAAGTCCTGCAGACATACTATGCATTTGAGTAAAATTTTATCAACCTACTTCATTTCGTTCAAAAGCTAGAGTGATTTCCACAGACGGACTAATGGATAGGCGGACGGACATCGCTAAATCGACGTAGAATTTTATGCTGGTCAAAAATATATTTACTTTGTGGGGTCTAAAATGTATATTTCGTTGTGCTACAAACGGAATGACAAACTTAATATACCCTCCATACTATGGTGGAGGGTATAAAAACGAAATTTGAATACGAAAACGTGGATCGGCATGGCCCATTACAAACATAACCTGGCTACTGGCAAAATACACATGTGTGCAAAATTTTAGCTTTTCTATCTCAATACGTTCGAAAGATAGCGTGATTAAAGCAGGCAGACGGACGGACACACATACAGACAAACATCGCAAAATCGTCTTAGAATTTTACGCTGATCCAAAATATTTATACTTTGTAGGGTCTATCATGAATCCTTCGAGGAGTTACAAACGGAATAGCAAAGTTAAAAAAAACGAATAAAATCGCCATAAAAGCTCAAATTTGGTGTCTTGTAATATTTATATCGGACCTAAGTCAGTAGCGGACATGGAAAATATTGTCCCTCTGTCCCCTAAACCTAAAACGTCAACACTTTTCGCAAGAATATGTTATGGTCCAACTTTCATAAAATAAGGGATTATTCCCTAGTTCTCTTTCTCTCTGACGGTATACAAACTAAGATCCAGAATTTCTTAGGTTTATGTTTTTAAATTATGGCCCACACTCTAGTAAAGCTTATTTCTGGCTTTCAAATTTGTTAGAACATCAATTTCTAGAATTATAAAGAGCGAGATCGTCTGCATAGATTCTGAAATTTTTCGAAACAGTAAGATTTTGTTAAGATTTTTGAGACATTTGCAGAGTATTTTAGGGTTTAAAACAGGACTTTTCATGATATGAGACAATCATTTAAGTGCGACTTTAAAAGTTATAATTAGCTGTTGTAGGGAAATAATTAATTCTGATAATGTTCCGTAATCTAGAAAAAATATAATAGAGAAATCTCAGACTCACTTTACTATAACCCTCCATTTCAAAGTTAGCACAGGTCACCTCATCAAGAAATCACTCACATGTTAGATATCATGCTAATTTCGAGATGAAAGAAATATCTGTTTTCCAATGATAATATTTACAGCCTTTAGAGAATTGTTTTCTATTTATTCCCACCCCCTTTTTCAAACACACATCTAATAAATGATAACATTCTTTCTCCCCCGAACTTTGACCACCCACTTTCAAAAACATTCCAGTGCTGATGGTAACTATGAAGTACGCTACAAATCCAATGTCTTGATCTATCCAACGGGAGAAGTCCTCTGGGTGCCACCGGCCATTTATCAGAGTTCGTGCACCATCGATGTCACCTACTTCCCATTCGATCAACAAACGTGCATCATGAAATTCGGCTCATGGACCTTCAACGGTGATCAGGTCTCATTGGCGTTGTACAACAATAAGAATTTCGTGGATCTCTCGGATTACTGGAAGTCAGGTACATGGGATATTATTGAGGTGCCGGCCTATTTGAATGTCTACGAGGGAGATGGCAACCATCCGACCGAAACGGACATCACATTCTACATAATTATCCGAAGGAAGACTCTCTTCTATACGGTGAATTTAATTTTGCCCACGGTGTTGATTTCATTCCTGTGTGTCCTGGTATTCTATTTACCTGCCGAGGCTGGTGAAAAGGTAAGAAATGCTCCTAAGCGATGTTTGCGACGGACTTAACTTTTAATGCCATGCGATTTGTCATTTCATTCAAGGTGACCCTGGGTATTAGCATTTTGCTGTCACTGGTTGTGTTCCTGTTGCTGGTATCGAAAATTTTACCGCCGACGTCGCTGGTGCTGCCGCTCATTGCCAAATATTTGCTCTTTACTTTCATCATGAACACGGTGTCCATTCTGGTAACGGTGGTCATTATCAATTGGAACTTCCGAGGTCCGCGAACACATCGTATGCCCAATTGGATACGTAGAGCCTTTCTGCAGTACCTACCGGCCATTCTGCTAATGAAACGTCCGCGCAAGACACGACTACGCTGGATGATGGAGATGCCTGGCACCAGTGCTCAAACCTATCCCACTGCCTATGGTTCACCGGCAGAAATGCCCAAACAGATTAGCGCCATTGGGGGTAAGCAGTCGAAGATGGAAGTTATGGAATTGTCAGATTTACATCATCCTAACTGTAAGATTAATCGTAAAGTGAACAGTGGTGCCGATTTGGGTCTGGGCGATCATGGTCGGAGAGAAAGTGAATCATCGGATTCGATATTGTTGTCGCCGGAAGCGAGTAAGGCCACGGAGGCGGTCGAATTCATAGCTGAACATTTGCGAAATGAGGATCTCTATATACAGGTGAGAAATCGGTATAGGATTTATGATATTACCAAACGAGCTCTATTCCAAAAGAAGACCTAGAGCTCTTATAGCTCTTTAAAGAGAAGAACTTTAGCTCTCTTGAGAGAAGACCTATAGCTCTTCTGAGAGAAGACCTTTAGCTTTTCTGAGAGAAGACTTTTAGCTCTTCTGAGAGCTCTTCTATGAGAGGACCTTTAGCTCTTCTGAGAGAAGACTTATAGCTCTTTAAAGAGAAGAATATTAGCTCTTCTGAGAGAAGACCTTCAGCTCTTGTGAGAAAAGACCTTCAGCTCTTCTGAGAGAAGACCTTCAGCTCTTCTGAGAGAATACCTTCAGCTCTTCTGAGAGAAGATATTTAGCTCTTCTGACAGAAGACATTTAGCTCTTCTGAGAGAAAAACTTCAGCTCTTCTGAGAGAAGACCTTCAGCTCTTCTGAGAGAAGACCTTCAGCTCTTCTGAGAGAAGACCTTCAGCTCTTCTGAGAGAAGACCTTCAGCTCTTCTGAGAGAAGACCTTAAGCTCTTCTCAGAGAAGACCTTTAGCTCTTTGAGAGAAGACCTTTAGCTCTTTTGAGAGAAGACCTATAGCCCTTCTGGGAGAAGATCTATAGCTCGTCTATGAGAAGACCTATAGCTCTGCTGTGAGAAGACCTATAGCTCTGCTGTGAGAAGACATATAGCTCTGCTGTGAGAAGACATAGCTCTCCTGGGAGAAGACCTATAGCTCTTCTGAGAGAAGATCTTTAGCTCTTCTGAGAGAAGATCTTAGCTCTTCTGAGAGAAGATCTTTAGCTCTTCTGAGAGACCTTTGGCTGTTCTTATTGTTGAATTTTGCAGAAGACCCATATCTCTTCTATAAGAAGACCTATAGCTCTTCTGTGAGAAAACCTATAGCTCTTCTGTGAGAAGACCTATAGCTCTTCTGTGAGAAAACCTATAGCTCTTCTGTGAGAAGACCTATAGCTCTTCTGTGAGAAGACCTATAGCTCTTCTGTGGGAAGACCTATAGCTCTTCTATGAAAAGACCTATAGCTCTTCTATGAAAAGACCTATAGCTCTTCTATGAGAAGACCTATAGCTCTTCTGTGAGAAGACCTATAGCTCTTCTGTGAGAAGACCTATAGCTCTTCTGTGAGAAGACCTATAGCTCTTCTGTGAGAAGACCTATAGCTCTTCTGTGAGAAGACCTATAGCTCTTCTGTGAGAAGACCGATAGCTCTTCTGTGAGAAGACCTATAGCTCTTCCATGAGAAGACCTATAGCTCTTCTGTGAGAAGACCTATAGCTCTTCTGTGAGAAGACCTTTAGGTTTTCAGAGAGAGTATCAATAGCTCTTGTGTGAGAATACATAAACCTATACATCTCTAGCTCTATGACTTCGTTAGGTCCGACAATCCTTCAGTGCGAAAAATTTAAGAGATATCTTTGACCCATAAAATATTGTCATTCCGAAACTAATATGTTTCTCTCTTTCAGACTCGTGAGGATTGGAAATATGTTGCCATGGTTATTGATCGACTGCAGTTATATTTGTTCTTCATTGTGACCACTGCCGGAACTATTGGCATTCTTATGGATGCTCCACATATCTTCGAATATGTCGATCAGGATCGAATCATCGAAATCTACCGAGGAAAATAGATGAATTTTAAACCAAAAGCTAAAAGAGAACTTTTTAATATTAAATTGCCAAATAAGTTAAACATTGCAAAATGCAACAATAAGGTTTAGTAAGGAGAAAAAGGAAAAACAAACAAATTAAAAATATAATTGAGAATAGAAGAAGACGAAAATGAAGGAGAAAATTTAACAATAATTGAAATTTTTAAAATAAGTAATAGTAAAAAAATAAACTTCCATTTAGAATATAAACAAATGAAAAAAATAATTGGCCCAATACAAAATTTACCGCATTTTCATAATTGAAACGAATAAATAAAATTAATAAAACCGGAAAATGTAACCCTGCCCTTACGTCACAAAAAAAAATGGTAGTTTTAAAATAAATACCATTTTGAAAGAACAACAGAATTAACAATGAATTGAGAACCAATCCAAAGTTTTTAATAATACCCATTAATGCAAAACTTAGAATCTATTTTTACTGCTAACAAATTTTGTAAAACTCCAAAAAACCAGCCAAAACTATTTGGCAACAATTTCACCAACCATCAGTAATTAATTTTTTTTTCTCAAATAATACTTAATTTATTATAATTATTAATTTTTATGGTTAATTGCATTTAGTTAAGCCGACGACCCTCACTTAAAATAGTTATTAAGAGCTTGAACAAACCGATAATAATTGACACGAAATAAATGAAGTAAGAAATTTGCTATTGATAACCAACCGATCAACCAGACTTAAATAGGCAAAACAAACTGAGATTTGTGAAGTAAACGAAGAAGGCCAAAAATACATTTTTTTTCATTTTTAACAAAGTTGTGAAACCAAAAGAAATAAAAAAAAAAAAAAAACAGAAGAGAAAAGAAACAATGAATCGCATTGGAATGAATTGAAATCGTAATAAAAAGTCAAAGTTGAAATTGCGAAACAAAGGCGTTTTAATTGGTATTATTGTGCGATGTGAGGTTGTATGGTTGTGGTTTTTATGTAAATTCATTAAGAACAAGAAAAAATCATATTTAATTCGGCGGGCCGTAATCTTTTTACTCTAACCGAGATGAAAACTTTATTTTCCATCCTCATAATTTATAAAATTAGGATGTTTTCTTATATGGGGCTCATAGCGAAATTATATTTTTTGAGAAGAATCAATCTATTCATATCGAACACGAAATGTCAAATTACAGCTTACATTACAGGTTGAAAAATTTAGGCCGAAACGCTATATACAGAGTGAGATTAAAAAAACTGCAACCAACTTCTGACTGCTGTCATTTCTAAGCCACTCGTCCGGCAGCTGTTAAAATTATTCCAGTGACAGTTCATTATATAGTTTGAAAGCGTACATAAGCATTTTGGTGAGAATTTTCCAGAAAAAAAGTTATTCGTGATGGAATTCAAAACCCCAAAGGGGCTATCGTTAGAGCACTCCAGCATTTTAATATGAATAAATCGTTTGTGTCTCGTACCATAACGAGCGATGGTACGAGACACAAAAGATTTATTCACATTAAAATGCTGGAGTGCTCTAACGATAGTGATACTGGTAACGTAGCCCGACGTCAAGGAAGGATGGAAGAAAACAGCAACATCAACAGAAATGGTTCGAAAAGCAAAGAAGCGACATGATCGAAACCCGGGTCGCCGTGGCCGCAAAATGGGTCTTGAGCTGAACATATCGGAATATTCCATTCGGCAAATATTGAAAAATGAGCCATTGAAATTCCAAAAAGTGCAAAAACTTACACCGCAACAGAAAGAAAGTAGACTCAAACGAGCTAAGAGTTGCTTCGCTTGGCCGAAAGTGGCGAACTGCCGAATTTGGTTTTCTGCGATGAGAAAACATTCGTTGTCCAGCAGTTTGTAAGCCAACAAAATTATCGTATTTACTTGCCAAAGAAGTCAGCTGAAAGTGTGCACCTTCGGTTGGCCACCAGAGTGATCGTGTGGGCCGCCAAACAGCCGAAGGTCGCTCTCCGCTCGTATTAATCGACCGTGGCAACAGAATAAATGCCGAATATTATCACGAAAATATTCTGGAGGGTACGCAAACATTTTGGACGCAGTCCTTGGACATTCCAACATGGCTCAGCAGCATCGCACTCAGCACGCGCCACCCAAGAATGGTTACAAAATGCAGTTCCTCGCTTCATTTCCAGCGGACACTAGCCACCAAAATCTCCGGATACCAATCCGTTGGACTATTGTGTCTGGAGTATTTTGGAAAGAAAAATACCAAAGTGTCGATCACCGAAAGCAAGTGCTTCGCCGGGAATGGGACAAAATACCGCAGAGCAACATTCGGGCAGCGTGTGACGGTTTCATTGGCCGTTTGAAGGCCATAATTCGTGCCAAAGGTGACCAATTCGAACAAATCTACACTTATTCTAAAATTTGATGCTGTTTCCGATTTTTTTTTCTTTCATTCAATAAAATTTAACAAAAATGTAAAATTTATGGCGTTTGACTTTGTTGCAGTTTTTATACCTTCCACCATACTATGGAGGATATATTCATTTTGTCATTCCGTTTGTAACTCAACGAAATAATGATCTTAGACCCAACAATGTATATGTATTCTTGATCAGAGTAAAATTCTAAGAGGATTTAGCTACGTCCGTCTGTCTTTCTGTCTGTCCGCCTGTCCGTCTGTCTGTTGTAATCACGCTATCTTTTGATCGAATTGAGATAGAAGGCTAAAATTTTGCTCACATGTTTATTTTGGCAGTAGGCGGGTTAAGTTCGTAAATGAGCCATGTTGGTCCACGTTTTCATTTAGCGACATTATTTACCGGAATTGTTTCAAATTTGGTATTTGAAGTTCGAAATGGATACTACAGCCATACAGAAAATTGTCTGTACAAGTCCACGTCTTCGTATAGCCCCCAGGTATAAAGGTACCTCCCTATATTCGGTATACTGATGATTTTAGCGACATTATTCACCGGAATTATTTCAAATTTGGTGTTTGAAACTCGAAATGGATACTACAGCCTGAGGCAGAAAATTTTCTATGCAGGCCCACGTCTTCGTATAGCCCCCATATAACGGTACCTCCCAATATTCGGTATTTTGATGATTTATGCGTCATTATTCACCGTAGTAGTTTCAAATTACGTATTTAGAGTTCGTAATGGGAACTACAGTCTGTGACAGAAAATTACCTATGCAGGTCCAGGTCTTTGTATAGGCCCCATATAACATTACCTCCTTATATTCGGTATTTTGACGATGTTAGGTACAATACTCACCGTTTATTTCAAATTTCGAATTTGAAGGCTTGTGACAAACATTGCCTATGTAGGTGCACGTCGTATAGGCCCTAATATAACGACTATATTCTGTAATTTTAAAATGTTAACAGAATTTTTGGCAAATGTTATTTTTTTCGAAGAATTTCAAATTTGTTCTAAATGGTGGAGGATATTCAAAGTTCGGCCCGGCCGAATTTACTGCTTTTTACTTGCTTCATCTCACCTTGTAATGGGACCTGTAGCTATATTTTAACCGATGTTCACCAAATTTGATACACTTCCTCCAGGGCTAAATTTGTTCGTATGTGCCAAGAATTTAACGAATCGGACGGATAATATGAATGGGAGCTATAGCTATATCTGAACCGATTTCCACCAAATTTAACACACTTGGTTCTTGGCCCAATTTGGTTATATGTGCATTCCATCCGATGTCTTTAGGGTTTGTCCTTGGATCAAGCAAATGGATTGTGCGAAATTTCATCTTGATCGGACAATAAATGCGACCTTATTTTGTTTTAAATAATACTTGGACAGACGGACGGACATGCAGAAATCCACTTAGAATGTGATTCTATGCAGATCATCAAAAGCAACTATTGGTCTAACTCGCTTTATCCTCTATGTTACAAACAAATGCACAAATACATAATTTCCTGACAGCAGTGTGGTGTAGGGTATAAAAATACAAATTCTTAAAAATAATAAAATAATTTAAAACGTCAGAGATTATTGTAAAGGAGATGTTTTTGAAAAGTCCATCATTATTTTTTCCACAGGAAATAACCTTATAGATTTATATAATTACGGTACCAATATTGAGATTTGCGAAGTTTCGAAAAATTAGAGAATATTTTCACCTCCCCGAAAAAATGGAGCGATATCTTCCATTTTCACACAAAAATATTGAGATACAAACAATTAGACACTGATTTCTGAGAATTATTGTTCAACGTTTCTTTTATTTTGTTTGGGAGGAAAATCGTGAACCAATGGTGTCCATTTTCGCATCGGTCTAGGTTTGATGTAGAAATAGGCCCAGTTTGAAGTAAATATCAAATTTTTATTTTTTTAGTAGAGATATTGGATTCCATCTTCGCCACATTGCCACATTTGATAATATAATTGTTATTACAATAGTTCGATGTATCAAGTGTAGACCAGTAAAACAAACAGACGTACGAACGGAGAAACATTTCTAAATTTAACCGAAATGTCCGGAAACGTATTTTGACCAATACGATATGAAATCAAAAAGTAGTTATTTCGACAATGCATATTTTTTAAACATTAGACTTTATAACGAGCAAATTTTAAAAACTTGCCTTGAAAAAGGGCAAATGTCAACCGAAATACTACCTTTATTTTTACCTGTACTATTGCCAAAGATTCTACATATACCTAAAATGCCCGGATTAAGAGGCATCTTTGTCTCAAAATTGTTGAAGAGGGTGGAATTTGTCCGCTCTATGTTTTTGTTATTCTTCTATGTAAACTATCAAAACTCCGATGCACGTGTTTTCTTTTTTAGCTCTACTTTCATAATCTGCTGGATTTTTATACCCTACAACACTATGTGTTGGGAGTATTATAAGTTTGATTGGGCCAAAAATTATGTAACACCTCGAAATATTGATTTCCCACATAGGAAAGTATATATGGATCTTCCTAGCTCGCCGAGCTGAGTCGATCTAGCTATGTATGTCCGTCCGTCCGTCTGTCGTCTGTCCGTCTGTCCGTCTGTCCATGTTAATTTGTAATCACTCTACAGGTCGTAATTATAGCCCGATCTTCACGAAATTTAGAATGTAGGTGGGGCTTGGATCAGATTAGAACCCTGTTTCTTTTGGAGATGATCGCC